ATCTGGATTTTTAGAAGATAATCGAATTTCCTATAAAGCTAGGAATTCCAAACCTCCACAAATAGGTCATACCGGCGACAACGAGTGCGGCCAAAAAAACATGGTCACTGTGATACTCGCACTTAAAAACATATTTGCTTCGTGTAAAAATAGCAAGGGATAGGACCAGCTGCGAATATGCGGAAACAGAATCTGCTAAAAATCCAGATAGGACTACAAGGATGTTATATGCAAAGTAAACGATCGAATAAACCTTAACGTTGATATCGCCGAGATCGAAAATTTCTTGGATGACCCTATGATATCTAGAAGAATAGCCCATAACACTATAACTGGTCTCATAGCCTCTACCGTAAGAAAAAGCGTACGAACAGCACGCGAACAGCGTGAAATAGAACAAGAATGCCTTCAGGTGTCCACTTGAATCCATTAAAATTTAACATCCGAGCCTCGATCATAATATCCGCTGATTAGTGCGAATTGAATGAAATGCAAATTATATTTATTAAATAGCCAAATCGGTGGTTTTGAAATAGAGCCCCTTTTGATGACATGTGGTCAGTAGCCTAACCTAAATTGTATCCATGCATACCTTAGAAATGCTGTTATGTCCATTTTAGATGCACGGACTTGCTCCAACCCCAATTCATGGATGATTTGATCAAGAGCACACTTAACATCAAAATCGGGCTCGTTGGAAAGATTCATAAGCTGCAGGTTATTCCGGTAATTTTTTAGAAGATTTTTCAGAACGGTGTCAGTCTTAAAGCTCGCAGAAATTGTTTTGTTCTTCCTGGAGAACAAAATCTGTATCATGGCGTCCCATTCGTCAAAGTCGATCTCGGGTGGCGGTCTGATCGGCTCTATTCTTACCACACTGGACTCCACTTGGGGGGGAGGCCGAAAATTATTTCGTCCAACCTAATGTTTATGGCATCTTTAACCACATACTTTCATTATGTGTTCCACCCTTGCAAGTAGCTGGACATTTACAGAAAGCCTGCAATACAATTGATCGCCCGGCTTTGCTACAAGTCTAAGGGCAAATTCTCGTTGGAACATCAACAAGGCTGATCTGAAGAGCGGACGATGAGCAAGCAGTTTGAACACCAACGGAGAGGATATCTAGCAATCGTTTTTTACGGGCAAAATGGCATACTTGATATGGAGTGTTGCTGACGCAAATGTCAAAGTAGGGCAGGTCTATCTTTAAGACATCTCCAATAATCAGGTTCAATTTCCTTTGAGCATCCGGGGTAACCATGCATCTCTTGGTCAATTCAGACGCCAATCTTGGATCCTTCTCCACAGCGACCAACTAAACAAATAAATGCGAACACAATGCCTTTTTGGCCTCAAAAAGGAGCTTCATCGTCAAATTTCCTGTACCTGGGCCAACTTCTAATACGACGTCGGTCGATTGGATATTGGCCTAAAGCTATGCGCATGCATACTTACCTTTTCAACTATTGAGTTGACTACAAGAGAATTTTTCAAGATGTGCTGGCCAAGTGCTTTTGTAAATTGAGGGCCTCCAAGATAGGAGCCTTGTGCAGAGTCGTTTTCGGAGAGACCCGACTGTTTTTTGAATTTGATGCCAGATTTTCCCATTTGATTTAATAAAAAATGTATTGAAATTTAAAATTTTGCAGAATGTACAACGGCATCGGGCTAGCAACACCTCGTGGTTCTGGAACCAACGGATATGTGGTCAAGAACCTTGGGCACCTGAAGCCCAAAGGAAACTCGTTCAAGTCAGCATCTTATACTGAGATGCTTGAGGATTCGAAGCCCGTGCTTCGAAGCATATCGCAGGACATTGTTGAGCATAACCGAAAGCGAGAGATCGAATTAAAAGTTGTGCAATTTATCGAAGAGCTGGAAGTATCGGGAAAGTATGTTTCCGACGAAATTGAGCATAAATCCAATGCATATCGGGAGCGTCTTTTTGAGCTTGCCGAAAAACGCCATACCGAAGACAAGATTGAAAGCGAGGTTGCCTTTGATGCCAAGGCCCGCCAAAACGCCAAATTTAGAGAGGCATTCAGTATTAAAAGCGATATCAAGGAGGGCGATGGCTTCCGATTTATGCGTCCCGAAGTTCCGAACTCTTTTTAGGCCAAATTTATAAGCCACGAGCATGCGACATGGTTGTATGGGTTAGGGTTGGGATGGCATTTTAATTTGTTTGAAAATAAACCAATTATTCTGGCAACATTTTCTCCTGGTATTGAGATGCCAAATTTTGGGTGCATCTTGGCTTGCTTATGAAAGCGAGTTGTTATGTCTTTGTTTTGTGTATTGTTTTATTTTTATTTATAAGGCCGAATTACTGCTTCATTGGCTCTTTGATAGGCCTATTTGCCAAAAAGCATCATGTCGCTGCGAGTGCTATGAAGACTTTGAACTCTGCCATCTCTTCTCCGAAAGAAGCTATTTCCGGCGCAATAAATTCACAAAATTTGCAAACAGAAGTTCCTCCACAACCGCCTTCGCATGTCTATCCTCCTGGTTCTCAACCGCCTTCGCATGTCTATCCTCCTGGTTCTCAACCGCCTTCGCATGTCTATCCTCCTGGTTTTCAACCGCCTTCGCAAACCTATTTCCATGGTTATCAAGCACAGAATTTTCAGAAGCCTCTGATTTCTTCTTTTCCAAACCCCTATACTTTACAACCAGGAAACCAACAAAATGCTAACACACACCTATTACATGCTGGTGGCTTCCCTTTTGGTGCCGGCATTCCTGGCGTATAATAGCTTTTCCTCTATTTGTATGATGCCTTGTTATAATTTTTGGTCGCAATAAAATTCATTTCATGCAAAAAACTTCCCAATATTTGATCATGCATTACGGTGGGTTTTCTAAAATATTAACTCCGTGGCCAAACAATGAAAGGGAAGCAGCAGAATTCCAGCCAGAAATTTCCGTTGATTTCCGGAATGCTACAACAATTCCTTTCGCAGGGGAGAGAACCTATCCTTAATGGCTATAATGATCAACAAAATACGAATCCTGAAGCACATGGTTTGCCCAACACTTCAAGACAGGCTAAATTAAGGCAAACTTTAGAACCCAACGCCGATATAGAACGCCTATGCGAGATCGCCGACGCAATTAGAGATACCACCTTTCCAGATATCGCCAATATTTTGGGAGAAATTTACAAAAAGCTGGAGCAGGCACACATATAGTTGCTAATCTCACACTAGATCTTTGAAATCTTATCCAGAGATAATGATGCACCCCCCAAAAAGAGAAAACGGCAACTGCTTGACATTGACTATACTGACGCCTCGGTCTTTCAAGATGCAATTATATTGTCACCCCCTTCGCTCGAAAGTGACAACTAATCTTTTATTTGATTGTCTACTGTGTTCCGTCGGCAAACTGTAATCATACCCATACATAGGCTGCAATTGAATAATGTCTAAATAAATTCCCCTTATCTTTGGTCTCATGGCGGTGGGAAATTATTTTCATAAACTCTGGTGTCTGTGATCGCAAACCGCCAATTGCGATGCCAGTGTAAAGTTGCTTCAGCGCATCCAAGTTTCAATACACACATTGGGCATCAGCAAATTGCCATCACTGGGTTCAATTAAAATTACATTTCAAACAAATGACATTAAATTTTTTTAAATTCTTTACATGACAACCACAAAACTGGACAGGTCTTCAGAGGTAGAAGGATGTTTTTATCACCATTAAGAATCGGATCAGATCTGTGCGAGAATCTGCTGCAAGGTTTGACACATGCACATCATCCATTTGCACACCGCCATCGATGGTGAAGAAAATCCACGGAAGTGCAGAAGGAATAACTCATTCCATCGACGAAGACGAGGTCAATCAGTTCTCATCCAATATCAATGAGGTCCTGGGTAGCGACATGCATTTGAGCCATCTTTTACCATTAGCTCTTGATGGCTCTTCTCTATTTGAAGCCTGCAAGGATGGGCTGCTACTTTGCAAGCTATTGAATTCGGTGGCACCACTCACCATTGATGATCGAGTGCTCAATTACCATCAACCCTGCATGCCACTCTCTCTATTTCATAAGACAGAAAACATAAATGTCGCCGTGCAGTCTGCCAAATCTCTCGGCTGTTCCACAGTTAACATTGGACCTCAAGACATCCTGGAAGGTCGACCCCACTTGATTTTAGGCCTGGTATGGCAAATAATCAAAATTGGGCTGTTTTCAAAGGTTTTTCCTTTGTATTTATCATTTTCAGGTCTCTTTACAGTGCCATCCTGAGCTATTCCGTTTACTGGGCGAAGGAGAGGAGATTGAAGATCTACTTCGACTGCCTCCTGAAAAGCTTTTACTCCGTTGGGTCAACTATCATCTGGCAGAAACCGGCTGCACTCGCAGAGCGTCAAATCTCTCCACAGACCTCAAGGTATAATTTGCCTCGCTAATGCGTAGGATGGAGAAATTTACATCCGTCTTCTCAATCGGTTAAGCCCGGACTCCATGCAGCTCGAAAGTACGCTTCGCGAGGATATTCAGGCTCGTGCACTGGCAATAGTGGCCGCCGCTGCATGCATGGGTTGCAAACACTACATCACCCCCAAGGCAATCACCACAGGCAATGCTCGCCTTAACATGGCATTCATGGCTTCTCTATTCAACAAATGGCCAGGATTGGCGCCGCTGGATGTTGAAAAGCAGCGCGAGGTTACCATCCTTGTTGAGGAGACTCAGGGGGATCGTGAGGCCCGTGCCTTGGTAATGTGGATGAATAGTCTAGGGGTGGAGCCTGCTGTTTCCCACATCCTATGGGATCTACGTGACGGCAGTATTCTATTGCAGGCGCTGGCAAAGCTTTATCCGGGAGAACCATCCCTTGGCTCTGTAGCAGAATCGAAGCGCATCTCGCGATTCCAAATGATCGAGAACACAAATCGCGTCGTCTCCTTTTGCAAGGGCCACGTAAAATTATCCATGGTAGGAATTCAGGGCGCTGATATCACGGATGGCTCTGTTACCTTGACAAAGGCTCTTGTGTGGCAATTGATGCGAGACCATTTATTGCGCACCCTGCGCTCGACTTCTCCAAAAATCAAGGATGCGGATATGCTTGCGTGGGCAAACGAAAAAGTCGTTGATCAGAAGATCAGTTCATTTGGAGATCCCTTACTAAAAAATGGTGCCTTTTTGATCAGTTTGCTGCGTGCCCTTGATCCAAGCATCGAACCGATTAAAGTTTTATCTTACGACTCTGATGAGGCAGAGCTTCTGAACAACGCGCGATATATCCTTTCCGTCGCTAGACGCATGGGGGCTGCGCTTTTTCTGTTACCGGAAGATATTGTCGAATGCAAGGCAAAGATGATCATGACGTTTGTCGCTTCATTGATGGCCCTCCAAAGGTCCATTTAGCCCGATCACTGAATTAAATTTAAGTAGTTTATACTCGCTATTCCAGAACGGTTGGACGTTAAGGGCACAGCTTTATCATATTACAATGATGCCCTAAAACACAGAGAGCAGGGCAAAACAGGTGTAGAGTAGAGAAAGTGGGTAGGCGAGAAGTAGACGCTGGTGCTGCATCTGCAGGACACCTGTAAAGATGGAAGATGCCGCAATGGTGCACCAAAGCACCATTGCAATTCCCAAACCAATAGTAAATGCAGAACTAATAAACGGCGGTGCATGGAGAGCCTTTAGCAGATGCGAAAGGGCCCCCAGCAGCGGGCCCAGAGGTACCATTGGAAGTAGGGAATATCCAAGTACCGATGCAGTTCGTGTTCCATCAATGCCTCTGCCATCTTCAGCCATCAAGTTGACGAGCAGGAATATGGATAGCCAACCGAGCATTGATAAGCCATAAATGTATCCAAAATGTATCTAAAATAATGGCAACCATAGTGCCATACTTTTCCTGAGATAAGAAGTGATCCGCCAAGGGCTAGGCATATGGCAATTGGTCCAGCGAGGTCCGATTCATCCATCATCTCAGGCGCAACCTTCCTAAATGGATTGAGCACGGTGAGTGATTTTTGGGCAATGTGCGACGGGTTGATACCAAGCTCTGAAGAAAAAAAAATTTAAAAACCTTGTAAAAGTGGAGGCTCCGTGCCATCTAAATTACCAACACCAATAACATCCCAAATCGAAAATGCCTCCCCTGAAGGGGGTCTTCTTTCGTCTGTAAGAAAAGAAGTCGCAGAGTGGCTGTTTTGATGCTGCTGAAATCCGCTGGTCTGTGGCTGGAATGTAGAATACGCAGCTCCACTTTGGTACGGGGTCTGTGACGATTGCTGCATCGGATATGAGTACCATTCTGAAGAGCCATCAGGGTGAGGTGCATGCATTTTGCCAAATTTTAATTTTAATCTGCAAAAATTATTTAATTAAATTATTTGCACAATGCACAAATCATCTTCCAGTCACTAGATTTTAACTGGCTGAATGGATAATTTTTTGTATTCTTTTATCTACGATGGACACCCTCTTGATACCTTCAGTTTTTCAAACTTTTTCCAGCTCTAGCAATCTAAATATCGTTAAAACTATCGGAGGTATATTATCCTCACTTAAAGCATTCAAGATTCCAGCTTTTATAGGTTCCTATTTTATCAGTTTATCCTTTTTGGGTTCAGCTATTATGGGGTTGATACTTTTTTTTTTCTTTGAGAAATGGTTTTATTCACTTGAGTTAGTTTTTATCTTTCTATTATACGTTAACTATTTTGACCACATTGTTAAGACGCTTTTTATTATGTATTCGAGCGAAGAAGGCATGTTTCCTACAATTAAGCTATATGTTACGGGCTTTTCACATTTAGGTATTCTAAGTTTGAGTTTTTTCTTATTATATTTATCTTATGAAGTTGACCGTAGCTACTTTAGGGTCCCAATTACTTTTGCTTTAACATGTTTATATGTATATTTATCTGAGAGTGTTCTTGATCCCGACGAATTCCTTATTCGTGTTTTTCCATACATCGCTGAAACCTTGAAAAGATTCTGGATCTTACTTCAATATCTCTTTAGATTATTTAAATCTGAACCTCCTTCATCCAAATCCGAATTGCCACCGACATCATAATTTTTCCTGCCTTCTTAGATAAGCAAAGTGTTATTCTTGACCATTTCAATATATAAGCTCTAAAAGACCAACAAATAAATCTTAAAAACTTCAAAAATCGAGCTATAAAGTGGTGCGCATGTGGGAGATTGGTTGTTTACAGGCAAAGTTTATTCATGAACCATTCGGAATGTATCGCCAATAAGTTTGAGAACTTGGGCCCGCCTGGTAGAGAATTCTGCAGCTGCCCTTCGCGGCATCTCCGATTGCGGGTGAAGGAATCGATCACACACTTCGCGTAGTGTTGCCTGAATTTCGAAGCTTGTCGCTTTCCACATGGCCCTTTTTATTTTTTCTTCGGAGTCTGGCGAATCTTTGATCGGCTCCTTGGAGACCTCCCGCACCGCTCCAATGGTTTCAACAAGCGATCCGATGATGTGTCCCTTTTCTTTAATGGAAATAAAAAGCCCAGGGAGCCCAAACCACGAGGATTTCCCAAGATAAAGTCTAGCGCGCGTACTGTAAACATAACCAATTGAACGGAGTAAAGAGACTCCATATGATTCCTTGGAAAGATCCTTCGCTTCCTCCTTGAGAAGCTCTGTAAAGGCTTGTTCTGTATACACTCCGTCGATAAGAAGAGAAGTTTTTGAGATCAGTGCTGATAAGAGCATTTCTATTCTTTCTTCTTGTATTTTTTGTGATTTTTCAGAAATTATTTTTTCTCGAATCTCCTCTGTATTCGAATTTTGATCATCGCTGGTGGCCATCTCAGAAAGAAGCCTTCCCAGCGAAATGTCACCAATTAGCGTATGGAACCTGTCTCCGCCAAATAACATTTTAAAGATTTGCTCGGGAGAGATAAATCCTGCTTCTGGGCATGCTGATGCAGGGCCTAATTGGTCGTATCTTGCTCGGAGGGTAGCATCTGATAGAACTTGATATGCTTCCGATATTTCTTTAAATCTGGATTCTGCCGTTGGATCATCTTTGTTTTTATCTGGATGGTATTTCATTGCTTTCAAGTAGTATGCCTTGCGAATGTCCGATGCAGATCCTTCTGGAGAAACACCGAGTAAATCATAATAGTGCCGATCCTTCACCATTAGGGATAAGTTAAAAAAGTAAAATAAGTAAAATTTAAAAAATACAGTATTTTTGTGGCATAATTATCATTCGGTGTAATAAATTTTGAATACCTTTGCTTTGAGGCTAATATTCCAATACAAAAATCAATGCAATTAAAATAATTCCAATGTTGTAAAAGTAATTCCAATCCAAACCTTATCATGCCAATTTCAAAGCTACCAGTTCGAGGGCAATTATAAAAAGAAAACCGCCGTTCAGACTGCAGCCAAAATGGATGTGGATTGCCTTAAAATATTCTCTCTGCACGATTCTCAATCTGAAAAGATCCTTTTWGAGCTTCTTTCAGACCGGATATTTTATTTTGAAGCGTTTTCACTTTGCTTGGGTAGCAACTTTAATGCCTGTGACCACTTTTGGAAAGCAAGGGAACAATTTTCCACCAATAATTTGGCGTTTATATATCCGGCAATATCAGGTGTCAGGATTTGTCAGTTTTTTTTTACACCCTTCAAAAAGAATCGCAACATTTCCTCGCATTCCCGCTTTTTCAATCCAAGAGAAGAGAGCGGTTCAAAAGACGTCGAATTGATTTCCAATTTGCTTTCTCCGTTTTTGGTTGTCAAAATCCCGGATTATATCAACGTAAACATTGGCATCAAAGAGATCATCCTTCAAGTAATAACAATTTTTCTTATTTGTAAAGAGAATTTCTCTGAATGAGAGCGATATTTCGCTGTACATGGTGTTCCCTGTTTGTTTTGTTCCAATATTTACCTCCTCCTTTATACTTATCAAGTTTGTAAGCATTGAGAAGATCAAACAGTTCTTGCATCTACCCGACGATGATCACTTTCCATTTTCGCTCTCCGTGCTGGACATCGGCACTTTTTTCAAGGTTTGTATTTTTTTAATGGTAGTACTTTTTCAAGCTTGTTTTTATGAACAAAACCTTGATTCCAGAATTCCGGGTCAACACCAATCATACCAACGACGATTTTGATGACCAGTTTACTAATTGCGGTGTAATTAAATTGGAGGTTGTCAAACTGCACGTGGAATATTCACACTCGTTTGACATTGTGGCCTTCTTTTATCGCCTCATGGATTTCTACTTTAGGAAGAGCGATTTCAGCTTGCTTGTGGACCAGGATAGGGCCTTTCAAATTGAAAGTATCGTCTGCAATGCAACTGGATACGAAATCTGGCTGTCCTTCAATTCACTTCGGACGTCCAGAAAATTCAAGTGTTTTTTCAACGAATTCTTCTTCGAGTTCAATGTAGGCACTTATTTTTCAAATCCTTTATAGGGGGGAATAATCAAACTGCACGTCTCATATCCTTTGCTTCATGTATCGTCCTCTTTTCTGGCTGGATTTAATAGGCCATATGGAGCGGGAGAGGGGGATCCGGACCAAAATGAAAATGCCTTGAGAGCCTTTTGTTCGATACCTCATGCGGTGTTTCCCCCTAAATTCGTACCTTCCTTGGCTTATGGTGATTTGCAAGTTGACCATCATGAGGTGTTTTTGCCTTCCTCGTCAGAGGAGGAGGGCGATGAGCTTAAGCTGGAAGAATCGTCCGAATCTTGGGTTTCAAAACTATTAGACGATCATTTCCCTTCAACTTTACAGTCCATAGATTCGTTCTCCTCGCCCCCATCATCTGCATTTACCTCGTCATCGTTGCTGGCCTCGCAGCTGCTTACCCCGATCGCATCGCCGGCACCAATGTCGGTCGTGTCAAAAGGGAAGCAAGTTCCAAACGCCATCATCCCGTGGCGGATTGAAGCTGGCTTGGACATGCGAACCACATGCATGTTCAGGAACATTCCAAACAAATTTTCTCAAAGAATGTTGATCGACTTTCTCAACGAAACCCATATGCAGATGTATGATTTTGTCTACTTGCGCATGGACTTTAAAAATCGATGCAATGTCGGGTATGCCTTTATTAACTTTGTCGAGCCACGGTAATTTGGCTTTGCCCTGATTTTAGCTTTATTGTTTCTTTTCATGCCAGGGTAAAAGGGATGCATTGGGATAATTTCAACACCAATAAGATATCTGACCTTACATATGCAAATGTTCAGGGCAAAGAGGCCTTGGTGAAGAAATTCCGAAACTCGTCGTAAGATGTTCGTTTCTGATTGCCCATGTAGGATTATGAATGCGGAGGCTGCTTTTCGTCCAAAAATTTTCTACACTACTGGCCCAAGACGTGGAGAAGAGGAGCAGTTTCCACTACCCGAATCGATGAGGCATCAACAGGCTGTCAAAGCCCCCCAGCTGAATCAGCCTACTAGAACTGACAAGCTGAATAGCTCGATGGCTAGTTCTGAAGCCATTTCATAAGTACAGAATCGATAACTTTTTTAAGACATCGCATACGGACAAGTTGGTCTTTTTTTTCGGGAGGTCCATTCTGCTCTTTGTTGATTTCGCCCACTGGCCATGGTGGAATTGGTGTTCCTGTTGATTTGACAGCAAGGATTTCGCTAATCTCTTGCTCGGAAAATACCCCGCTTGCAGCGGCAAGCAGCTCATCGGCAACATTGATGGTGCTATTGGATATAAATTTTTGTCATTGAAACCTTTCTTTTTGGCGTAATAACATACAAAGTGTCACAAAATAGCCAACAGCCGAGCCGAAAGCATATCCTTCTTGGTATGCATTTGGAAATTGGTCAATGTCTAGAATAGACGACCCCGCATGACGTCCAGTTCTGTAACCAATCTATGCAATCAGTAGGTCTTTCCATACGTTGGACAGCATACGCGAACGGTGGGCCCAGTCGTGTTCGCTAGGGTCCATCACACCAAATTAAAGTCAAAAAAGTACAAATTTTTATCGCTTTAAAGTTGTCGGCATCAAAGGCCCAACCCTAACTCCCATCCGATTGCTGAAAGTAGCTCCAGAATCGTGCCATCATAAGCTAGCCGCTTTTTATCTAAAACCCGGAAAATTTATCGCAAACCAAGGCTTTAATTAAAGACGCTATTGTTGATTTCAGCTTACAGAATCAAATGTAATCTTCAAAAGAGTAGCATATCAACGCGTGCTAATTTTGAGAGGAAAGTGGCAGAATGGGAATGCAAAAACTCGAGACAAACACCAGAATTATCTTCGTTTAGCACGGGACCCTTTTAGCCATCTGGCGGTTTAAAATTGCTCCCAAAAGCCGTTTTCAGATTGTATCGAACAATTCTTATACCAGTTCTGTTTATGTTTAGTAGAGGTTAAGGCTGCTCAGGGCGGATGTGAACCATGCGAAAAGAGACGAGGGCTCGTCTGCATCTTCTTGATCATCCTCGCCATTGAAGAACGTGTCGACGGGTGTCGGATGGATAGTGTCAAGCGGTGGGAGGGGATCAAAAGCCCAAATTGTCTCGTCCAGCTGTGCTTTACGCATCCAGTCCGAAAGCGGCCAATGTTTCCGCGGTAGACCTGAAAGATATGCATGTCGGCAGATGGTCAACTGTTGTTCGGGCGACATCAAGGACAAGGCTTCGATCTGCTGTGACGCTTGTCCCATCTCACCAACGCCTAATCCAAAACTGGCGGCTCCATCGTTAACATCGGTCATGGCTGTGTAAAGCCATTGGGCGACATTTGGCATCCGCCATTGCGATGAGCACCGTTCAAAATAAAGCTTTTCCAGCGCTCCAAGATTAGTGTCGGCTTCCTCTCCAAATGCAAGCGCCTGTGCAAGCGCAGGAAAGCGTCGAATAGCTTCCTGCAACCTGGCCGATGTCTCTGCATATTTTGACGCCCTCTGGTTGCTATCATTTTCAGCAATGTTGTCCCCTTCGACTGCTGACATAGTCTTAGCCTTTTTCTCCTTTTCCCCAACAGCCTCAAGAAGAAGAAACGAGGCAAGCGATTCAGAAAAGAAGATATTTGGGACATACCGAGCGACCTCAGTGTACTCTGGTCCCCAAATTAACGTATAAATTTGTGGAAGTTCCTCCAAAATCCAGCGATACTCCTTTTCTTGCAACGCGAAAAAATCCAGCAAAAAGACGGCACCCATTGGATCGAGCCAACGAGGAGAATCCAATCTACAATTAGTGGGAATATCTTACGAAACAAGTAGCCGCCCAATTTCCAGCGCGGACCGCCAGCATCCTGCAGGAAAAAGATTAAGGTTTCAAATAAAAAAGGAAAGAAAGTTTGGAGGCAAAATGAAGCAAAATAATATCAAGAGCTTTGGACATACCTCGACGGCCGATCAGTTCTGCGTAGAAAAAGAGCAACAGAAAAAGGATGCGGTTCTCGTAATAGGAATATGAAAGCGTATGGATTCCAGGACGGAAACGCGCGCCTGCACCATGTTCTAACGCTGCCAATGCAAGCTCTGGAGTGAGTTCAAACCATCACAAACCGACTCGCGCCATGGCCTCGGCAAACCGCCCCGCATGTTTTTCACTCAATGCAAGTAACAAGAGCGTACCCGGGTGTGTGGGCCATTTGTGCAGACACTCAGCAAGTGCCTCTGGATGGCCACTTGATGCTGCTTCAATCATGGTATATTCGGCAGCGACAGCGCGCCGCCCATGAACCATGCGCACACACATCGCTTTAGAGGCATGTCTTTTTACATCACAGGATTCTGGCTTGTTTTCCTCCTGAAGACAAGCACCATTTTGATGATCATTATCCTCGTCCACGATGCCAAGATCAAGAGCTGAGCCTGCACGAATCAATAGATGCTCAAAATGCGGCCGCGGTGGGACGAGAATTCCAGTACTGCGACCGCTTCGGGCACTCGAGTGTGTTCTTTGAACGCCTGTCCCGAATCTGCGGCGCTCTTCATTCTCATAGTTAAGTAGTTTCCGATCAATTGTAAGGACCTTTCTATCTATAAACGGCTGACCGGAGCCTGTTTCACAAGGATTAGGAGCCTCTTTGGAGATCGGACAACTTTCTGCGGATATCTTAGATTTTGATGGCTTCAGCGACTTTTTGCCGCCACTTTTTTTCTTTATCTTTTTTGGAAATACAATTGGCGTCTCGTCGTTCGTGGATGCATCGAGCTCCTCCTAGCCATCAGCATAACAAGATACCTCAAGAACTGCAAAAAAGTTGACACGTGCCACCTGGTAATTACATTCTTCACCTGACGATGGCTCCTGGTCCTGCGGGCTGTCCGATCGCTTTCTTAATTGCCGTAACGACATGAATAAAAATTAACTCTTATTAGCCGGCTTTTGAACAACAAACATTTGCATAACTCGCAAACGCAACGTAATATGTTGAATAAAGCCCAAGCACGTCATGGATATGTTTTTTCTTTTTTGTGCCACTGCTGTGTCATAATTACCCGTTGACTTGGTCCACAAATTTGCATGCACCAAAACCGAATCTCAATTTTGCTGCTTGATTAATGATGTCGATTTGCTATCCCCAGCAGAGCTTAACTGGGACTAAAGAACACACACCCCTTCCAGCAATTTGTCCTCAAAACGAGCTAGTAGCGCTTTGAATCAGAATATCTCTGAAAGTGGTACGAACAACTCTGTAATCGAGTATCTTTGCACACTTTGGCTTCAATAAATCGCGTCGACAAGCACACATGCAAAACAGCCATCTGTTGCTTTGAATTTGCTATTCATATACAGCTTTCCAGTACACTTACGCATTTTATTTGCTCCATCGACATTATTCCTCTCTTTTTTCCGCTTTCCTTGATTTTTTTGCCGGTCGCCGTTTAAAAGTAATATCGATGTGCGAAGCAACATTTCTAAGCCCAACATTGTATGATAACACTTTGTAGCTTCCATATTTCTTAGCTTTCTTGCCAAATTTTTTCTTGCATCAAATATGTATTTATGGCCAAAAAGAACATAAAGCATCCTCATTTTTACAAAGATAGCGGCATATGATTTATCGGATATTTTTACTAGTGGAACTTTTTTACCTGTTTGGCGTCTACTCAACCTCGGTATATATTCCCAACTCTGCCGGTGCTACTCAGCCCTTAAATTTCATTCCAGAGATTGCACTAAACAATTGTTTTGTATCCCACTGCATCCGTTGGAAATAAATTGCGTGGAAAAGGAGACTTTACCAACCCTAATAAATTGGGTTTAATTTTGATGGGCAGGCTAGCTTTTAAGACTAAAATTTCTGTGGCATGCAATTGGATGAACTCCTTGTACACGATCGCTGGCTTGTGTGTGTGATTTCCCTCTTTGGCGAGGATTTTGTCAATGCGGCACTCTGCATTCTTGACCTTGGCTTTCGTCAGCGAGCAAAATTTCAGCCTCGCAAAACAAGACTTTCCTTCCATACCCCAACCCTGCCTGATAAGAACTGTTCTCTCTATCCTGCAGGAACCGTAGCAGTTTTCGCCACTAGCGAAGGGCCAATTCACATACTTCCATACGCACGCTTCTGTACATGTGCAGGGTTCAGCGAGTGTCTCTTTTGTATCCATATTTTAGCCGCGCTCCTTGCAATATGCAGATTTGGTTCCATGCAGGAGCCCGCTCATTCGTGTGACATCGCCACCCTTGCAAATATTCTTTTTCCACCCGACTGTAGTTAAGAATATTTGGTTTGCTACCAAAGTCCTGCCAATCTGACAACTTGTTTGCTCACACATGGGTGGTAAATTTATTTAGCACTTTTTCAGAGAGCAACGAGAATGGTGCGAGAAAGTCCTGCTGCATCAATTGTCTTCGAGTGTTCCATGGCAGAAAGAGATAAAAGACCAGAAACGCCACGGTGCGCGAGGTCGGAAATGGCGAATTCCTGACGTACATATGCAAGAAGGTCGCCAATGGTAGCTGATGTGACATCATAGGGAATAGCATGTCTGAAAATAAATAGAGCTTGCATACCTCGTCCCGAGCACATCTATTACAACAAGGGAACCATCGCCCCTACCAATAGGCGTGACTGTGGGTTCGGCGGAGGCGGGAGCAGTTGTTAAGTCTATTGGCAGGTCCGTGGGCGGGCGAAGGCTTGAATTAGAAAATTTTTATACCTTCCGAGCTTTACACCGCTGGCTTGGATGCAAGCAGAGCTCTCTGGATGGTCCGGCAGAGATATAAAGGAGCCTGGAGGGCTGCCTGGCTCGTATGCATCGTTGATGCGGCTGGTGTCTATGTGGATGTCGATCTCACCCCCGTGAGAAATCCCAAGAATCGAAGACGGCGCCTTACCCTCCATAATACGCTCGAGCAGCGGATCTTCGTATGAACGCAATTCGTCATCCAGTGCGGACGAGACGAGCAGCTGCCAGCCGTCGCGCCAAAGCACGAGTCGCGGTTGCGGGCTTGTGGACGGCACTGGCGATGCGACACGATGATCTGACGAAAATATCCGCTGGATCAACGAGGAGACCATTGAAAGTGGGTTTCCATGCAAATCAGTGGAATTGCGACCGTGAACAGCCTGACCCCCACCAACGAAAAGTGTCTCGCCACGTTGGCGGGAAATGGCCTCCTGTTTTTCTGCATCCTCCGCTCGGGCTAGAAGCTTGGCCATGGACCCGAATCTTCTATTGAGCCACTGATGTACTTACTTTGCATCTGTCTCTTTTTTGTCATCAGGTTTCATTAGGCCAAAGGGTTATTAAACTTTAAAACTCAAGTTGTAAATTTACGGTTCTTTTTTGAGAAAGGTACGGATGCGGCAAAGCGCAATAGTAGCAAACGATCCAGATATGGCAAGCGCGGGGATCCTGCCAAATTTTCCGTGTCGCAATGTCCAAAAATACACTGCAGCGCCGCCAAAAGCACCAACAGAGGTGACCACGCAAGGCATGCACTGCTCGCCCATAAAGATGCAAATTTAAATTAAGTGTCCGAATTTAACCTTTTATTCCACCATATTTATTTATTCATTCCAAGTTTACTATTACAACATTGTTGCATGAAGTTTAATTCAATTTAATTTTGGCTGCTGATGGCGTCGTCGCCGGAGCATATCTCTCATCAACTGGAAAAATCGGAGCTCTTCTACAACGACCCCAATTTGGTATACACAGATTTGTTCTCGTGGCTCGACCGTGTTCTCCTTCCAAATGACGCACAATTTGCGGCAATGGTGATGGAGGAGCACTCTCTTCGAATTGCAGCGGTATCTGGCTCCTCTTCATCTTGCGCTGCCACTCTGACGCCGTCCATGTCAGCATCTATTTTACATCGACTCAAGAAGATGCAGGAGAAGGGGGAAAAGAAGAGCAACAAGCGGGTCAGAAAGCAAGAACCGGCCCAGATAGCAAAACAGCATCAATTGTTGGAAAAAAAGCAGAAAATAGAAACCTCGATGTCATCCAACGTCCCCATCTGGACATCCATTGTACATAACATCAAGAGCCAGTATTCTTTGATGGCCAAATCGAGTATGATTATGCAAGGAAATGCCAGGAAAGTAGCATCGCTTGCTTTGAGAGAGGTGCGGCGTACGCAAATAGCAACTCTGGCCATTTCAGACCCGCTGGGTACTCAACGCCGCGCAATGCGGGATGTATTGACTTTTTGGCGAAAAAATGAGCGTGAAGAGAAAGAGCTGCGGCGACGAGCGGAGCGGCAAGCCGCGGAACAGCGTCGCGCCGAAGAGGAGGCTCGTGAAGTACGACGGCAAGCACGCAAACTCGACTTTTTGATCAATCAAACGGAGCTTTATGCACATTTTATGGCTCGTAAGCTGGCACCATCGGGCGATGTGGCCAATGGCTCCAATGAATTGTCTTCCACCGATACAGCAAAAATACCCGTCAACGACACAATACAAGCACCTGTATGTGAGGTCTCAACTTTCACTAAGGAAGATGCAGAAGCCGGCTCAAATATGGTGGCCGCCTCCGTGCCAGCGGTCACAGCACCGGGAATGCTGCACTGTACCCTCAAACCATATCAGTTGCGTGGACTTTCTTGGCTGGCCTCACTTTATGACCAAGGCATCAATGGAATCCTTGCAGATGAAATGGGGCTCGGAAAGACCGTACAATCGATTGCATTGCTGGCTCATCTTGTGGAGCGCCATGGAGTCCAGGGTCCCTTTCTTGTGGTTTCGCCAGCATCCACGCTGCACAATTGGATGGACGAGCTGGCACGTTTCGTGCCTTCTTTTGTGGCACTGCCGTATTGGGGGCCCGATCGAAGGGCATTGCTCCGCGGTCACGCTTCTGCATTTCACGTTGTCGTGACGTCGTACCAAATTGTGGTTTCAGATGAACGAATTTTAAGCCGCCTTCCGTGGCGCTATATGATTCTTGATGAAGCTCAAGCAATCAAATCTTCGAGCAGCGTGCGTTGGCGTACGCTTCTGAATGTGCCTGCGCGGAACCGTCTTTTATTAACGGGAACCCCAATTCAAAACTCCATGGCTGAGCTATGGGCGCTCCTGCACTTTATCATGCCTGGACTCTTCGACTCGCATGAAGAATTTGCTTCATGGTTCTCCAAAGAGATCGAGCAAGACCCGCCAAGGGGTGCAAGGCCTGCCACCGGCGCCGCTGCTTTTGGGGATGCATTCCAGTTGCGCCGGCTGCATGCAATTTTGCGGCCATTCATGTTGCGCCGGCTCAAGCGTGACGTAGAGATGGAGTTGGTCGACAAAATCGAAATTGATTTTGTAGTGCCACCCTCAGCACTACAGAAGGTTTTAATGGCGCAGCTCCGGGCCACCATGACAACTCGGAGCCATCGCCAACTAGCATTACTCAAAAATGCCGTCATGCAGGCACGTAAGCTATGTAACCATCCAGAGCTGCTATTGCCTGCCATCGTTCAGGCGCCGCTGCTTATCCCAGCTCCAGCTACTGTGGTTGTTCCCCGCCTTCTCCTCGATGTATCCAATTCATCTAAGCTATCTAGCTGCATTGATACATTTGGCGCCTTTTTACCGCCACCAAGTAAGGCATTGGAGACATGTAGGCTTGCGCCTGTGAAGACGCTCAAGATTCCTGCTCTTGAGGACTCTTTAATATGTTCCAGGCTTTTACGCAGCGGACCTGCATGGGTAGTTGGAGCAGTGGCACCATTACCAGCGCTTTCGATTAGTGGCTCAGCCAGAGGCTTTTTGCAACCTCGCCCCCGCCATTTGGGATTATGTGCTTCACACCCCGCTCACAACAGTGCAATGTCTGCATTTCGTACTGCCACTTCGTGCAGTACAATTGTTCTGCCATTTAATGAAGCAAGGTCTACCGCTAACAGCTTGTCAATTTCGGGACCTTGTCCGCTAGGGCCGCGACTACCGGCTGTGGGCGAGCGTATCGAAGCAAGCGGTAAGTTGGCTGCTTTGATAACACTGCTTAACCGTCTCAAGACAGAAGGACACCGTGTACTAGTCTATTTCCAGATGACACGTATGATGGACATTGCAGAGGAGATCCTCTCTTCTCTTTCTTTTTCACTTGTACGCCTTGATGGCACCTGTCGCATTGAGGATCGCCGCGATCTGGTTTATGCTTTTCAAACGGATCCAAGCATTTTCCTCTTTCTTCTTTCAACACGAGCAGGCGGCCTTGGAATCAATTTGACCGCCGCAGACACCGTTGTGTTTTACGATTCAGATTGGAATCCCACTGTTGACCAACAAGCGATGGACGTACGTTTTTTATGCTGTTTTTTTGACTTGCTTTGTTAATTTTTTTGCCTTGTACTTAACCCATAGAGGGCGCATCGGCTAGGACAGACAAAGCAGGTGACTGTGTACCGATTGATCACAGCAGGCACTATCGAAGAGCGTGTGCAGCAGCGAGCAAGGCGAAAGCATGCAATTCAGCGCGCCGTCATCGAGGGTGAGGCGCGTCATCAGCTTCAAGAATTGGAAGAACAGGCTGAAGATGCGTCCATTGAAGAAAGTGGCGATGGCGCCGATATTGTTGGCGATGAGGAAGAGCTTGCTGCTCTGCTACTTGACCAGTGAGGCGTTAAACACACCCGTCACGATTAAATACACATCGGTTTATTGGGAGATGGTATCAAGCCTACTCTTGCTGTCAATGACATTTAAACTCAAATCCACCTACCACCACAGGGAACCGTAATCGCATGGTCTTGTGTGAAAACCCCGACTTGGAACTCTGGAATTTAATTAAATTTAACATCAACTAACATGGACATCAATGCAGCATATACAGCATCCAACTTCATCAACCACTTTAGGACGGCGTTTCTCGCAGGCAAGCCTTTTGAGGACAAAGAAACGGGCGCTATACTCAGGAGCTTCCCGTTCCAATTCGCATCCCTTCCAAATTTTGTCTCCGATGCTTCTCTTATCGACACCATGCGCCATGAAATACTTTATGCCCAGCAAAAAAAAACAGCCGAAACAGATGAGTGTCACAAAGTAGTGCGCTTTTTCCATCGCCGAAACGACCTTCATGATTTTTTCCAGTCAATGGATCTCAAAACGCTGCGGGAAAATACTACCACCTGCGATGCTGACAAAAATGTGAGACCTGCTGATGGGGGTATAGCCAATTTTCCGGCAATAAGAGTAGCGGTAACCCTTTTTACAGCACAGGAAAACCCCTCACCCGTAATGACACTGCTCGAATCGCTCACGGGGCAGACCATCGATCTGAAACAGATGGCTATCGCTGCGCAAGTTTATTTACCTGGCTCGTTTCTGTTATGCCATGATGATGCACTTGAGGGCCGGCTTTTTGCATGGGTTCTTTATGTTGTTGATGAGGAACCCCTTTTCGGGGGTTCTTTGCAGCTGTTTGGTGCGGCTCCGATAATGCATCGTTTATATCCGACGGTAGTTGTTGATTGCGTACACCCATGTCGCAATATGTTGATCTTCTTTGCGGTTTCAGATCGCTCGTTTCATGCGGTTGAAGAAATCTTTGGTGGCACGCGCGTCTCCCTCTCTGGTTGGTTCTACGCATCTGACAAGGTAATTCCGAGCGACGTCGAGGCTATTTGCCAGAAAGAGGTCGGTCTCCAAAATCCTAATGAAGCCATTGCCTGTGTCTCTCCAAACATATTCGTTTCAGAGCTTGTTGCTACCAACCGATTTTACAAAAGTCCTCAAGTGTGTTCATCGGTCATGACAGTTTTGCGAAAAAACCGCGTGGTTTCTTTGCATTCATTTTTTGAAGGATTATGTGTAGAGTATTCGGGTCTGTTAAATTCTGGTTCTTGGCAGTTGGCGGGACCTCCAAACTACCGCCACTATTACGAGTGTGTTGGGCTTTCTGACAAGGACTCGTTGATCCAGTCAATAATTTCGGGTTACCGCAGTATCGATGAAAGGTGTTTTTCAGTGGTTTCTTCGTCAATCCACCACTTTATGCCTGGTTCCTACCAGGTCATACACGATGACTTTCCTAATGGCAAAGAACAGTCTCTTGATCTACTTCTTTTTGTACCGCATAAGCCTTCTGAAAATCCTACTACTCCAAAATCACTCATCAAGTATGCCTCGCTCGTTAAGCGAAAAGCAGAGAGGCACATTGGTCCCAAAGCCTGTCTTGGCATCTGTAAAGATACGACCGCATCGAGAGATAAAATTCATGGCAAGGTCAAGCGAGGCTCTCGGGAAAGCGTGGAGGAGATGATTGAAATTGACCCGACGATTTCCAATACGCTTTATGTGATTTGTGTCCAAGGAAATACGCAGATATCAGTGGACTATCTGAAATCAGGAACATCCCCTTTCTTCATGATTGCCATTCGTCTGGCAAGAACCTAACTAATTTATTATACAAAACCCATTTGGCGAAAAATTAAAACATAAAACTGCTTGTTGAATTGGTGTGTATGTTACTCGCATCTATCTTTGAATGGGGGACGGCATCGGACCAGGGTTACTCCCATCAAATGGTTGCTGAAAAAAGGCAAATGGTTACTTGTAAACTTGCAGTTTATTTCTATGGGCTAAACGGCCACTATCATCTGTTCAAATCGATGCACACATAAGTTCGCGTCAGCATACATGGACTAACTTCATTTCTTCTTTTGATCTGAAGAGACTTAAATTACCCAGGCTGCCTATATACCTTGTAGTCGTAGAACCCTACACACATCTATATAGCGATTTTTTCCGTCGAAAAAGACGTCTACTGATGTTAGTTCATTTTTCCACTGGTGAGAGCAGCTAAGGCCATAGGGTCGTCCGCTTCATTTAGAGGCAAGCGCACCCAGTACTGGCGTGAGGGAATTTTGGCTTTATCGATAGTACCATCTGGCAAATATTTGTCAATAACATGCTCCAGCATTAACGCATTCCCCTCCTCTTGCTTTAATGAAATGGCAAAGTTGGAGATATCCTTATGGAGACGCAGAGATATGCATGTCTCTTTGCTGTTTGGATCCATAAACGAAAGTGCATCGGCCATGCGTTTTTCCTTGCTCTTTTTTTGTACAAGTCGACCACTGGAGAACGTGACGGATGGGTTTCTTTGCTCTGATTGTCTTTTCACAAGATCTGGTAGATGGATGGAAAATCGTTTCAGGAAAAAATCAAAATTCCAGAATGGATATTCACTGTAATTTTTGCAGGAGCGAAAAAAAGGGCAAGTGACGAGGTATATAGAATCTTTTTTATAGGACTCTGCTTCTTCTTCCTCTTCTTCCTCTTCATCATCATTACCGAGAAAGTCGTTTCGAGATGGCAAGTCGAAAAAAGGATCCGAATTCTCTTCATTATCATTAATTGCTGCGTCGAGGATCTGTCCGGTCGCCAAGTTCCTTATCACTTCACTATCACCCATTTGGGATGTAAATTCAGTGAACCAAATTTGCCGCGGATCATCAATATCTAGCGCTGCTGTCGTCACTCTTCTTGTACCATTGATAGTAGTATGACTGTCAGAGATCGCCAAATAGCTGTTATTCTTTCTTTGTGTTATGATCATAAAGAGAGATTCGGCAAATGGCACAAAACTCCATCGCTGATCGGTGATTGAAGATCTATACGTGGTTAGAGAATCTTCCATAGGCTTTTGGTAAAAAGAAGATGCATGTTTAAGGCGAAATGGCTCGCAAGTGTGGGCAACAGCAGAAAGACCACCCTTGCCGATGAATTCTCTGTGTGGTTCAAGAGAAACTGAGCGATTTACTCCATTAAATGTTAATATACGACCAGATGCCTCGTGTCTCACCAACAGTTTAGAATCACTTTCTGTTGCGATTGGATCTTCTTCGATAACCCAAGAAGATCGCTCTTCGTGTTCTAGCGTTCTTGGCCGCAGACAAATATATCGTGGGTGTGGACCTTGAGAAAAGGGCTCCATCCGAAACATATCCTCCCATAAATTGAATAATTGGCCTGTTTTTGGAGAAAGGTACCATATGAGCGAAGACGCGTTAAAAATTTTCTTGTTTGTAGACCTTTCGACTGCGATGATGGCACCGAGATTGTGATCCTCACTAAAATGTCCTGATGTTAAAATAACGGATGCTGCTTTATTTTCAATATAAAAGCAGTCTCTTATGGAGAAGTATCCCAAATCATCCTTAGAGTCACATTCCCTATGCAAGTAGCGTGATGAGACCCAAGAGGGATATACGAGCAAAGAGAATATAGAAAACAAAAATGAGGTCCATAGACCCATAAACATGATCACGATGCGTTTGTTTTTTTACTGGCATCAACATGCAACGAGGTTTGGTTTATTGCGATTCGTCTGAGAACTGGCCAATTAGAGCAAGGTCCTTATCAGACTCTAATTTAAGAAAATTCCAAAATTCCTGTTAATGTTAAAATAAATTTAAACTAGGGTTACAATATCAGAGTCTAAACTTCCAATTCCAATGTTAGAGCAATTTGGGGAAGAGCCATTTTGAATAAGCATTGATGACCAGTCCTCGCGAAGCACCTTGGAATATTCGTGAGAAAGGAGCTCAATTTCTGAAAGTAAGCTTGAGAACATACCTTTGTTAAGGGTTTGCATCAGATTTTTAAAAGATTTCAGATTTAGCTCAGGCAGAAGCTTAAATGCAAAATAGCTTTCCACATCAAAATTGATGCCATTCAATTCAGAAAATGACTTTCCTAACAATGGGATTTCTAATACCTCTGGTGCATCCAGCTTGTAGTAGTCACATACCATACGATGAAGGTCTGATGGCGGGGCCAATGAAGGCCTTTCATTCATCTTATGGGTTTGATTTAAAGCTTTATTTTGTAATATTTGCACTTGTATGCTTTGATCTCAATTGATTCGGAATTTGTTGGTTTGAAACTGCAATTTGGTGTGTACTAAAATTTACTTTTGAACATTCTCATTTACAACTTTGGATTCTTGAAATTCAGCACATATCAACTTGCAGCAAAAGACATGCAGATCCCCTTTACCAGCAGGCCTATGGCAGATGCCAATATTTTCTCTTGTGTTGATCCTAAACTTATCAAAGAAATGATTTTAAAAAGTGAAGCATTTACTTTCCTTCAAAAAGACCCTTTCGTTTATTCAGCGATGCTCGGGGCTACTCGACTTACTGAAATGGTATCTTTTCTTTTTGAGGGAAAACACGCAGAACCAACATTATATAAAACTTTTTTCTTGTTTCTCGTGTGTGGAAGAAAGATCATGGAGCTTTATTCCCTACTTGAAGGGTTAAATGAAGATTTTCGGTTCTGGGCATCGGCTTTAAAATCCCCCGTTGGTTTCTGTTATTATTCATTGGCATGTAAGCGTGATAAGGCAAAATTAAAAGTAGGACCTGTTTATTACATCCAAAAAAAACCTCTATGGTTTGTGTTTTCAAAGAACTCGTTTCGCTCTCAAATACACCAGAAAAAGATGGAAATATTTATTCAAATTTCGGCATTAATGAATTTCCAGTGGATGGCTGCTTTAAAAGGTGATGAGAAATACATTTCCGAAATTTTACCTCAACTCACATATCAGAAATCGCTGCTAGAATCGCCCATATCATTGACCACGTTTAGAAAGCCAAATTTGATTTTAAGAACTTGGCCAATGGCACTTTTAGTCTTTGCTTCTTGTGCTTCCATCGGCCATCTTATCGCAGTGATGAACGTTGAGTGGTGGCTAGACAAATTTGTCCAATTAAAAGAGACACTAATATCTGCGTCAATCAAATGGATCATATCTCCTTTAAAAGACATGTGGGCTATGATCAGATATAAAACGAGAAAATTTGGCATTGAATCTTCACTCTCATCTGATGCAGAGGCAGGTGGAATATTTAACTCTTAGAGCTTAAAGCGAATGGTGGCCGATTACGTTGCCGAAAAAAAATATTCCATCACTGAAGAAGGCCAGGGGCTCAATTTGATTTATTTGGACTATGAGGAGAGGCTTTCAAGTCCTCTAAGGCACCCTGGTATTGATCGATTTTTCATTTTTGTTTTCAGTTGATTTGATTAGACTTGGTTTAATCCAAGCTCAAAAAACCAGGGTAGACGCAAGTGCTGCACTAGAAGCACTGGATCAACTATTGCGTGCAAATGAATTAAATTTTGCCATTCTTGCCGCGGTCCCCTCCTTGCTGATTGTGTTTGGAACATGGAAATGGATATCTTCCATCCTGTTCAAATCAAAAGCAGAAATGAGATCTAGAAAAAAATATACACGCGAAATGGAACTGTCGCTGAGAGAGTTGCAAAATATTCTTGGGAAAAGCGATCCAGAATGTCGGGGAAGACTGGTTGTCGCTGCAATTTCTTATTACAAAAATTCTACTCTTGCATTCCAGGAGGAACACCCGATAAAATGGATTGAGGAGGATTTGATTTTTATCTTAGATGACAAAGTAGAGATCTCTGCGCGGCTCCTTGCCTCCGAGCGCTTGTGGAGATATATTTCTCATTAATGGGGAGATAAAATTAATTAAAAAAATTAACTTTTGGAAAAGATTTTGTAATGCAGTGTGTTAGATGCACCTCTGCCCGTGCCATCATTAGACGCTCACTATCTGGAGAGGCCGTGTGCAAAGGGTGTTTTTTCTATCTCTTTGAGGAAGAAATCCATCAGACAATAACTTCTAGCTCCCTCTTCCAGCCCGGTGACAAGGTTGCCATTGCTGTTTCTGGAGGAAAAGATTCCACGGTTCTGGCACATGTTTTAACGACACTCAATAAGCGATATAATTATAACTTGGACTTACTTTTGCTCTCCATAGATGAGGGTATTTCTGGATATCGCGACGACTCTTTAGAGGTTTCACTGCGGACACTCCTAATTTTAGACGGTAAAAGTGAACCAAATTGAATATGGGCTTCCATTGAAAATAATAACCTATGAAGAGCTATATGAAGGATGGACGATGGACAAAATTGTTGCCAGGATTGGAAACAAAAACAATTGCACATTTTGCGGTGTATTTCGGAGACAGGCTCTGGATCGAGGCGCAGTGCTCATCGGTGCCAGTACAATTGTCACTGGACATAATGCCGATGATATGGCAGAGACTGTGCTTCTGAATTGTAAGTGATTTTGCTCATTGAAATAGTATTAAGGGGCGATGTTCCTCGACTTGCTCGATGCACCTCTATAAGGACATGTTCTGACCCAAAGGATTCCACATCAGAGTGTGATGGGGAGAAATCTACATGGACCGTTCCCCGATCGAAGCCATTCAAATACACATTTGAAAAGGAGATTGTTATGTAGGAGTTTCTTTTGACTCATTTTAGGTATGCATATCACAAAAAGCTGACTTATTTTTCAACCGAGTGCAAGTATGCGCCAAACGCCTACAGGGGCCATGCTCGGACCTTTTTGAAGCAGTTGGAGAGGATGAACCCTAGAATTATCCTAAGTAGACACGTTTCTTAATTGTAGACATCATTCGATCTGGAGAGTCTTTTGCTAAGCTTGCCGTATGTGCACTTGGAGATCCCTCAGCACCGGTCCAACGTATGATTTTGACTGCAATACTTGATTAGAAAACTGTACTAGATGCGGATATATCTCCAGCAACCCGCTGTGCAAAGCCTGCGTGTTATTGGAGGGGCTAAGAAGAAACATCCCAGGGTTTGCTCCTTTACATTTTTATTCTAGTCTCGGCATTAAAAAGAACGAACACCAGGGAAGGCGGAGAGAAATCGCCTACAATAAATCATAAATATTTTGGTGGGTCTATTTATTAACGTTATGCCGTGCATGTTGTAAGTATCATGATGCATGTTATTGACGCTAGTCGCTACCATAAGTTACTTATGAGAAGATGATGACAAGCGGCGGTTGTGTTCCTCGCGTTGCATCTCACCAAGATGCTTGTAGGATGTATGGGGAAGAAACCGGGTTGGGTCGTACGAGGTTTTTTCTATGTTCGTCGCATATTCGTTCAGATCGGCAAATTCTAACAGCTTCACATAAATATTTGGATTTCGGAACTCCCTATTGGAGATCAGCCTTTCGTTAAAGTGCAACCCAGTTTCCTTTAGCGAGAGGTAAGAATCAACTCGTTCCTAAAGGATAAAGATGGAAGAAATACCTGCACAGATTTGATCTCTTCGGTACCCTTGTAATCAAAAAGACTGGGGATTTCTCGGTAGTTTTGCATGATAAATTCCCTGATTCTCTCGTCATCCCCGGCTGGATTCATAAAATCAAGCATGTTTAATTTTAAATTAAACAAATCATGTTCGAGATTGGATTAATTTTTATTTCCAAGCATAGTTGAAAGCAATCCAAACCCACAATTTAAATTGCTTTCATGCAAATCAACAGGATTGATAAAATATCAATTCTTAGACTTGTGTCTTTTAGAATTAAATTTTACTCTTCAATGGCTTCATATAACTTGCGAACCTTAGGCCAGGAACATTCGCCAGCATACCGTGTATTTCTTGAGGATGGAAATTCTGGAAAGGTTCTTTCGTTCTTCCACGATGTTCCCCTCAAAACGGGACAAGACGATATATTCAACTTTGTACTTGAAATCCCCCGTTGGACAAATGCAAAGTTGGAGATTTCCACTTGCGAAGAAGGCAATCCAATTAAGCAGGATGTTAAAAAAGGTGCTCTGAGATATGTTGCCAATCTATTTCCTCTCAATGGATACCCATGGAACTATGGAGCCCTTCCCCAGACGTGGGAAGATCCTTCCGAAACTTGCCAACATACGAGCTATCGTGGAGATAATGATCCGCTGGATGTTATTGAGATTGGTGCACAAAAGGGGTTCACTGGCCAGATCAAGTCAGTCAAGGTGCTCGGTGCCCTTGCTCTGATAGATGAGGGCGAAACAGACTGGAAAATCATTGCCATTGATTCCGAAGATCCATTGGCTTCTGAATTATCTGATATTGAGGATGTCAAGAAAAAATGTCCCGGTTTATTGGAAACTACTCGCGACTGGTTCAAGTTATATAAAATCCCCGATGGAAAGCCGGAAAACTCTTTTGCATTTAATGGCGAATTCAAGAATAAGGAGTTCGCACTTCAAGTCATCCAAAATACTCATGATGCCTGGAAGGGGCTTAAAAGCGGGGAGAGAAGTAACAATGGGATTTCTACGTGCTCTGGGTCTTTAGAGGTACCAAGCGGGACCTCTCGTCCGTTTGCCGAGTTATTTGGCACTCTCCTACCGAGAAACGTCACTAAAAGCACCTTTTCCCTAATAAAGTTTAATTAGTGGCCATTTGCAAACAACAATCCCATTGAAGAGCAATCATTAATGTGGGGATTATCGATAATCAAGGGATATCCGTGTATTAAATTTGAAAATTGCGCATCAATTGACTGCAACAAGTGCATTAAATTATTTTTAAAATTGATCGATGTCCAGCGATGCAGCCAGTGACCGCTTTTCTTTTTCCTTGACCACATTTTCACCCACCGGAAAGCTTGTACAAATCGAGTATGCCCTAAAAGCGGTGCTCAATGGGCATACAAGTGTTGGCATAAAAACGAAGGAGGGCATTGTCCTCGCTGCTGAAAAGCGACTTGCTTCACCACTTATTGACACGATGGAGAGCCGGGTTACCCTTGTAGCGCCGGGCTTAGGCTTGGTCTACTCTGGAATAAGCCCTGATGCCAAACTACTTATTGCAAAGGCACGAAAAATTGCTCAAAAGCATTGGATGGCTTTTAGAGAATATCCAACTGCCTTAATTTTGGTCAAGGAACTTGCCTCTGTCGTTCAAGAGTACACACAATCAGGGTATGGAAGCCTTTTTAATGAATAGCGGTGTTCGCCCATTTGGTGTTTCGTTTTTGGTGGCCGGGTTTGACGATTCTGCTGCCACCGGTGATGGAAATCAGAGGAAAACGATCACACCTCATTCGCTTTACCAAATCGACCCTAGTGGGACATTCTGGCAATGGCGTGCAACGGCCATTGGGAAAAATACTGCAAATGCGAAGGCCTTTCTTGAGCGCCGATATCAAGAAGACTCCACCCTTGAAGACGCAATTCATACCGCTATTCTCGCAATTAAGGAGGGATATGAAGCCAGTGGGGCTTCTGGCTCCTCCTTTTCTGCTGACTGTATAGAAATTGGGATCTTAAGAATGGTCCCTTTCCATGTTTCCGTAAATACACACATTCCAGAATGGCAAACCCGATCCATGGCGCCTGAGTTTGTGTTGCTTTCTCAAACTGAAGTGACAGAATATTTGGAGTCAATTTGATGAGAACATTCCACATAACCTTTCCTCTCAAAGGAAATAAAGCTTCTCAAAAGTCCAAAAGCGCCACAAGGGTTAAAATTAGTACAACGCGGTGATACAATTACTTTGCATCGCAGCATGCATTATTTTGCAAGGCTATTGCGGTATGGAATAAAATGGCATGCACCATCAAAATGCCAACCTTGTAAGGGAATTTAAAATAATTTTTTTCAAAATCCCTTTGATCAATTGGACATGCAATTCGTTGAACGCGTTGGTCGAGTATTTGTATCGGTATCCGAGTTTTACAGAGACATTAACCCATCAACACTTACTGGAGCAATAGACGTGATTGTTGTTGAAGACGCCTCTGGTCACTTCTCATGTTCCCCATTTCACGTGCGGTTTGGAAAGCTTCAGGTCCTTTTGCCCCAAGACAAAATAGTAATTCTTGTTCTTAATTTAGAATTAATAGGTCGATGTTTCTGTTAATGGCTCTCCCCCACTCAAATCTATAAGTATGAAGGTTGGTGAGGCTGGGGAATGTTTTTTCGTGGTTGAAAGTCTGGATCCAGTTCCGGAAGAATATGCTACCAGTCCATTGATCCATTCTCAAAAACCATCACCTGATCTTTTGTCCAATTTGACAAACTTATCTCTGGGCGATAGGGCCGTCATACCCTCGACAATAACCTATCCGCTCTCAGATTCGGAAGTTGACTATACATCATCGGTTGGCATCACTCCAAGCTCTCGTGAAAAACAGGTTGAAAACAAAGATACCAACGAGGATCGTCATAATGACGATCAAGATGATGATCTCATCATAATGCGGGGTCACTCGTTGAGCGATTCTGAAATTTATGACTACAGTACCTCGATAGCTGGACTTCGTTCTAATGCCAATCAAGAAAGACAGTCTTCTTCATTTTGGTCTTGGGGATGGGGAAAGCTTCCAAAGCAAAAGAAGCCAACTACAATCAATGATGATGGTGCTCAAGTACTTCCACCTACACCGGGAGAGATGAATTTTCTATCTTCACCTTCATCCTGCACATCTACCTGTGCTTCAAACACGAATTTAATTTTAGGATTAAACGAATCTGGAACTTCTCCTGTAAAAGAGCTGCATGGCTCTAGTTTGCCCCTTGACTGTCCACCAGAAGCATCGTTTGATCCTTCTTTTTCAACACAAACTCCCATTTTTAATCAAAATACAGTTCTAAATGC